GGTACTTCTTGAAGCAGATGTATGAATTTTCGTCGCAAACTCCGCCCACTTCGGCCAAGCCCCGCCCACCGGTAACAGCTGGGCTCCAACACTCCACCCACCACCTACCTTTTTCCGTGCTGCCTCCGGGACTTCTTGGAGCCGAGTTATGAGTTTTCGTCGCAAACTCCGCCCACTTCGGTCAAGCCCCGCCCACCGATGACAGCTGGGCTCCACTCCTCTACCCACTTCAATCCACCTTTTCCCGGCTCTTCAAGACTTCCCCGGCCCGAATTATGAGGACTTGTATTAGGTACCGGATATCTTAGTGTCGCTTTTCTGAGTTCAGGAAGTTTTGGGGCCGATTACTATGGAAAATCAATATCCCAGAAGGCAGTTTTTGCTCATTAATATTGCGAAATATGTTGCTTACCGTCTTCTATTGTTGGTTCACAATTTAACTTTCCCCCAATTTTTATACTTTCTTCTGAAAATTCCTGGGTCCAGTGTGCAAATTCGCATGTGTGTACCAAATGCATCAAAATTCTTGCTGAGAGCTGTAACCTCCGCCCACCAAACCAGCATTGCATTTGATGGAGGGAATACTACCATTTAAAATGCTCATCGGTTTTTCACAGTTTTCTTAAAAGACAGTAAAGTCTTTGAAGGGATGCCCGCAACCGTCGCCAAAAAGGTGGTCCTAGCTAAATCAGTCAAAACGGGGCTGCACCAGTCTTGTGCTGGAATGGTAGGACACCCTAGCAGTTACTGATCGATGGTGCACAGACGCTCTAACGAAGTTGATTGACCAAGAAATTCTAATAAATGTGCTCATCTGCTACTCACGTGTGCTCAAAAAGGGTGCGTTTTTGACCCTATGTGGCAAAAAAGACTCCGGGAAAAATTGTCCAGTTGAGCTGGTAAGTAATAAATTTTCCACCAAACAGTGCAGACCCTACTCTAACTAAATGTATACATATTTTGTCCAGGCCCAACTGTTTAGCAAGGTAGAGGGATGATTTGTCAGATGATGTCAAATTCGACCTACCTCTCTTTTTCGTCTCAAAAAATTCCTAACTTTAATCGTACGAGGTTTTCACTCATACTGGTAAATGGGAAAGGGCTAATGAGTCATTCGATGGATATGCCGTTTCACTCACTGGATTTTGAATTAAAATATTGGTGGTCCGAAACTCGCGGTGAAAAAACGACACAGATATCGGTACCTGTAGAAAATGCTGTACACTTCAGAGCGCGCCCCGCCCATTCTGGGCGGGCCTCCGCCCACGTCATGTATGCAGGAAACACCTTAGACATTGCTCCCTTACACCAAATTGTTTTCTGCTCTGTAGGCTTTCTCCCAACCGAGTTATGAAATTTTTCATAAAGCACTGCTTTTTTAGAGAACGCCCCGCCCACCGGGGGTGGGTCTCCCTAATTCGATGTGACTTACCAATGCACACCTTTACCCACTTTTTGGCCCAGTTTCGAGGTCGTTTTGTCACTGAAATCGAAACCATGGTCGTCGTGCAGTTCATTTCGAAACGCACGATTCATTTCACGCACGCCCTCTGTGGGCGGGGCTCCGCTTAGCTGATGTGTGTTTTGTATTTCGTGAGACCTTGCCCACCCATTCCACACTTGACCCGGTCCCTCCAGGTTAGTAGGATAGTTCTGCATTCCACGTAACTTCCTATATTATGCGAACAAATCGTTCTGAAAAGTGCAGCTTCCGTGTACGACCTCCCTCGTAAAACGTAACGGAAGTGGTGGAGTTGAGGTAGGTCAGTTGCAAGGCAAGTGACGAGTGCTTCTGGTACTTGTTCACCTGAGGAAATCCCAAACGAGTTGGCGTGGCACTTTGTCGATCGTCTAGAAAGTCATTTGAAGCAGCTTATCCACTCGTTTGCTCTCTTCACCATCCGTCCAGCAACATAAATGACGTCGGTGGTGCTGCGTTCACGTCGAGTCCGCACTGCATCTGACTTGGGTTGATTATCTACTCCAGTCTGGCGTCCAGATTCATTCGGAGATCTTCAGAGTATGGCACATTAGATGAATTTTATAGTAACTGGAGCACCTAGCAATGTCGCCCTTCTTCTAATCAATGGACGCTATAATGCTTTTTGTCCAATCTTTCGGGATTCTTCCTTTCTCTATGCAATTGTTGAAGAGTTCCGTTAAAAGGAGGTAGCCTCCGAGTTGTTTCCAGATCTCTGCAGGAATGTCGTCTGGTCCAGTGGCTTGCATTTTCTTCATCTTCTTGAGGCTCTGACTTCGTGCTCTGGTAATGGACTGATGGACTGGACTGATTCGTGAGATTAGTACTTGGATCAACGCGTTTTTGGAGGCGGCGGATGGAGCTTATAGGAGCATCCCATTACTATCCTTGATGAATGTTGTGGTATCAGTGAAGTCCTGTGTTGCTCTGGAGCGTTGATTGGAAAGTCTGTAAATCTGCTTTTCGCATTCTTTAGTGTAATTGCAATCAGGCATCCTTTTTTCACTTTTACCACTTACAATATTGTCCTTTGATTTATCGCTCAGCTTCACAATATTTTTCTCTACTCTCACCCGTTCACCCGTAGGATGGAGGTGCCAGGTTCTGTATGCGTTCTTTTGAGGTGCAAGCAAGACTGCTGCATCGTCATCCCAAAACCAAGCAGACCGATCCCTTCCACGACTGATTTCGTTCTCATAGCCGATTCTGCTCGTGTCTCGAATTTCTTGGGCGAGTCGCTTCCAGGCTTGCTCAATGTCATAAGACCTAGCTTGTTGAATTTCATCGATTAGTAGTTTCTTTCACTGCGTCCCTGGTCAGCGAGTTTGTTCTCTCAGAAGTTTTTTACTGCCTCTTGACTGCATGAAGGCATGTCGTCCGTTGGCATCAGCACAGCGGGGCGATGTCAACGGTTACCACATATCAATGGAATTACTTTACAGTTGAGGACATCGCATCAATGGTTGTTTACCAGGATGTAGGAGGACATCGTATCAATGGTTCTTTGCCTGCCTTACGCTCTCCACCGATAATGGATTACGAATTTAGAATAGTCGCTAAGTTAAGTCGCTGGATCTAGTCATGTTAGTGTTAGGTGCGATTCCTTCTTTTGGAGGAGCGAATTACCAATGAATAGATCTAGCAAGTGGCATATTCTAAAATTCGTGTTCCATTTTCGTTCTTTACACCATATGCAAATCGTCCTTGTGTGTCCTCGTACTGATCGTTATCAGTGCCGATATGCCCGTTGAGATCTCCCATGATGTACAGGATTTCCATCGGCTTGAATCGTGGAATTTACATTTAGTTCGCAAAACTCCTTGGCTGCACTGGGTAACTTCGGCGGATCGTGTCCAATATGAATACTCCCTGCCAGAGATCACAGCCACATACACGAAGCGGTCAGAAATTCTTTGTGTGTCATTATCGGTGCGTTCCATCTCCTGCAACACGTTGACTTTTAACTGGTCTCTTCTGTAATATAAACCCATCCTTGTGGTCTTGGCGCCGGTACATTTGATTTCTTGTAATGCACGGATGTCCATGTTTCCTTGCATTTCTGTCACTTCGGCAGCTCGGCCAGTCAGAGTACCAATGTTGAGGGTGGCAATCCTGATGGTCTTACGTTTGTCCTTTACGGAGGACTTCCTAGCTTGTTTGTCCATTACGGTGGACGTCCTAGCTTAATCCATTACGGCAAGCAATCTAGCACTGATCGGTATCCTCGAAAAATCTACCTTTTAGTTTGGCTATGTGCGCGTGGTCGTCGTTATGAGTGAAGAAAACGTTGGTAGCTCCGCCGGAGACGACAGACCTGCACAGCACCTGATACTGACATCGTCACCAACGTGGACGAGAATGCTTCTGATTCCAATAGTGTCAAGTCGGCTGCACTGGTTGATAATTATTGTGTAGAGTTGGGCGTCCTTTCGAATGAAGTTCGGCCTCTTCTACCCTCTAAAGATACTTCAAAGTTAGCCGTTCAAGGGCGGTTAAACTGCTACGTCACCTTGAGGCCAGCTGGGATTTGTGGGACTCAATGGAGCCTTGTAAAGCAGCTAAATTATGGCATAAAGGTTGCTCACGAAGAAATCATATGTACTGACTCGGATTTCCTCCTTCGGCGCAGGGCTCCGAATTTCTTCTTTCTTCACCAGTACTTCGTCGCCTTCTTTGAAGTACAAACCTGCGACATAGTGGAATCTTGTACGTTCATGATGCTTTGAAAAAATTCAGGGTTGAACGTATATATTGAAAGAAAAGTTAAGTTCATATATCATATCATCAAAATATGGAAGCATAGCAAATTGCCAATAGATGCATAATGTCATTAAGTTGATAGAAAACCAACTAAATTTGACAATACACGAAGTTAAGTATTCATGTTACTTTAGCACCTAAACAACGGCGATTATGAAAGAATGACGGAAACTGAGATTTTAACCGCATTAGCCGACGAACGTTTGGACATTGAATGCAAAGAAGAAGAACCATTGATAAACAACTGGATAGCGGTATAGCGCCTTTTTCGCAGCTATGTATTAACGTTATACCTCGAACCTCGAGACAGCTAATTTTCAGAAAAATCCGAAAAATAATGAACGGATGATGCGGCTAAAATCGGAAAGCCTCAAACGGCGTGGAACCGATGGTCGACTTGCAGCTGTCGTGCGAGACAGAGTACCACGTGAAATTGTTTTAGCCATAGGTTCGAGCGCTTTTCAAGTTTACTGATGCTCATCATGAAGATGCCTTCAGTTTTCTTACAGGAGGTTGGAGCACAGGTGGTCCGTCAGACATTGTGGAGGTTTTCAACCCAAGGGCGCATACATGGGTAGTCCCCGAAGCAGCTGTGAGGTATAGTCGCGTTTGAAGCATGATGAACTCATGAATATGAGGTTTGGGAGACACGTTCAGAGAAATTCCACGGGCATATCACGGAGCCGTGTTATGTGCCGAGAAGATGATAATTTTCGGTGGTTTCAATGGAAGAGAATACTTCCAGCATGCCAAGATATTTGATCTCAATAAAAAGGTAAAGAAAAGAACATAATGCATCGAGATCATACGTACAAATACTTGTTCTCAGAGCTGGGAGGCAATAACGAATATGCACGACAGACGGTGTTATGTGGCTGCTACTCCATTTGTGGATCCAATCGGAACATATCATGTCGTTGCCATTGGAGGGTACATTTTCAACTATTTGATTTGAATAACCGTCAAAACCAGACTTACATCTTATGGTTTGTCGAAAGGACGAGGTGCGACGAAAAATCAAATAGTTAATGTTAACAATCAATTGGGCTTCGCTTTTCCGTCGTGAACAGATCTTTCTCGTTCATATTTATGTCCAATCCGACTAAATCTCAACGCGCAGCCAGACCGGAAAGGCCGATAGCAACCATATTATTGTTACCGAGTTACTGCGATCAAGATGCTCGGAACTCCTTTGTAGCACTAGACCATCACAAACTGCACGACACATAGAATTAGGACCCGTCGTCGTGAACACTAATAATTTGTTCATTAATTAGACGTATTAGCTTAGTTAATCTCTAAATCATCGCCTGTATTCCTGGCACTCTGCCCAAAGCTGAACCACATAAGCTGTGTGCACACACCTAATTCCTACCAGTAACTATCCGTCAGTACATATATGTTGGAGTTGTAAAGGTAGAGAACAGTTAGACTACCCACAGACAGGGAGCATTTTGGACATAGATCGGGTTACGACATACGTTCTAGTGCTCTGACTTGAGAGAAGCCCTTCTCTCGTTGCTTAAGAGCAGTATCACAGTGTTATCCGACGAGGAAAGACCAGCAATCGGCTCTGGCCTTGAGCGACAACAAACCAGCCCAGCCGAAGCAGATAGCGACTTCTAGTATGTAGGTATATGGGAGCGAGCCAAGTTTGCAACAGGTCACGGAGCAGCAGCTCTCAAGCGCAAATGGGTTGGAGCACAGGGTACATCAACGCCGCACTCGTAACATTTTCCCCAGAAAAGTCCACAACTTGGTCATTTCAACTGAAAACACCGGCATTTGGCATGAATGCAACTTCAACAGTAGGTCTTCTACTCAGCTCCAGGAACAGCAGGCTAAATCAAAAAAGAGAACAAGGCATGGCGTTGGGCATAAATACCAAAACCAAGTGGAAATAAGCAGCGAAATTTGCAAGGGAGATAAGGCGGGGGTCGAGAGGAGAAAAGGTGAAAACCTGCAAGAGTTACTGCTGCCGACCTCATAATGCTCGATACTTCCAATTTTCACAGCAGTCTGCTTGTCACACCTTGCATTTCAGCCACCCGTTCGCTGTCTCGCTACTTGTTATGGATATTACACCGATTTCGCGAAAAGCTCTTCGTGCCCTTAATTTTTACGAGTACTGCTTGGAATGTTCCGCAAGTCATGCTACACCAAGGATTAGCCAGAAGATGGGCGAGGGCACGCTCTCTCAATTCACGGTGCACCGGCGCTTCACTCTGCTCAGCGTTGACTTTTTTATTTGAAAATGATCCACACTCCAACCACCCTGTGACTGGCAATCACGATGCTCTGACGCTGTTGAAAAGGGATCTGGATAGAGTATCGATCATTTGCTAGAGCAATTCTGATGCGACAAGGAAGCACTGAGCATCTTAAAGATTTGTATCGGATCCCACATGGCTTAAGCCGGAATCAGCTCCAGACACGACCTGACATCGTTATGTTCGAGTCGACTTCCTATGGGTTCTTCGATAGGACCATCCACCACATTTGCTCATGACGAGAAGAGGCTTCAGTGTGCTAACAATATAACAAGCGGTGATAGTACAGCCCAACGACTTTGATGGAGTTCTTATACTAAGAGTTCAGCCTCCCACCCCCCGCCACCACCCCCCCCTCCCCCCCCCCTCGTCCAAGTAGGGCCTTCTCGGATTTTTGGTGGAACACGAGAGGAGTTAGGCTCTGGAAACCCCTCCGTGTAGATGTCGCAGTCAACGCGAAAGTCAACCATCTACAGCTTGAATGCAACGCTTTTAATACGAAAGAAAAACAAACACTGAAGTTATGCTTCTTAATACACGTTATCGCCTCTTGCTATAAAAATCTAGGGAAAATTTGGGGTCTCTCGGAGGAAGTTCCTCCGCATCCACACTTATACCATAACATTCGTGCCAAAGGATGCCCCGCTGCTCCCCTCTCCAGAGCAAATCTCACAGAACAAATCTCATCCCAACCATCATGATGTCAAAATCGACATTCGGATTTTCCTTCGATCAAAATTCAATGAAGTTTTACAAGAAAGGCATTGCACAGCTTTCTGGTGCGTTGCATAGGTTTGATTCAATATATAGATCGTGTATTATGGTGAAGAGTGGAAAAACAAACAAATAAAAAATCGTAAAAATCCGAATTGCAAGTTTTTTTTTCAAATCTTAATCAACCAAAAAGATCCCGTATTACATAAACTAGGACAGTGAAAGGAGGAATTGTGCAATTAATAGCAGTTAACGTGGTAGAAGCCTATGGCAAGGACATTTAGGAGAACCTTCCTCATTTACTCCTTGTCTTGTATTTATTATCCATAGCCTTTCTTTTAGTTGTTTACAACCGGCACCGGAAAACCTCCAAATTCCGGCTGAGATCCTTTCACATTAAAAAAAAAAAACCCATTGTTACCACTGGCATTAATATGGTCAAAAACAACGGGAAGTTCCTTTTGGGAAAAAGTGCATCAATCGTTTGCTGCCCCAGAAAATACTTTTGGTAAGGATTATATTTCTTTACAGAAAAGCGGAATATGCAGCGCTTGTTCTGGCGGGACACCGACAGTTAATTGCTGGCTTCGCATTTGGCGGACGAATACACAACGATATCTCGAGAGCTGACTGTATGGGAAACGCAAATCATCGGTAAAGGATGAGAAAGAACATAGGTTATACAAGTCTCACTGTCTTTGCATTTGGAAACTTAATAGTTATTGCCTCAAGCTGCGACCCATATTAGCAAATTTTAAATCTTGCCTTCATCAGCATAATTGACATTTAAAAATCTAGTGGAGCGCACGACATGCAACAGAGTTTCCCAAAATCGAAACGAAACGGTTAGACCGATTTTTTTTTTTCAAAAAAAGCACGTCAAGTTTAGAAAATCCGCAATACCAACACGAATTCCGCACAATAGCTCTAGAATACACATGACGGATGTGACTGGATAATTCGATGATGGCATCATTTTTTACTGGAATTGGCTAGAACTTCACATTTGGACCCTAAAGTCGATGCTTACTCTGGAATTAAGCTGCTCAGTGGAGTTCTCCCTTGGAATGTAAACGACACGGCACGTGAGTTCCTCCCAAAAGTGCACAACTCGGTAGCGCTTCAAATCCTGAGTTGGCAGCTTCATAATACCGGGTTTGCCTGCATTAAGAGAGCGTCACTTAGCTGGTTCATCGGATCACGTCGTGGAGAAAATCTATTTTTCGGCTAGTTCTTATAAACGAAGAAAAGCATCGCATTTTTCAACATACCCGTGTACCTGTAGCCGAGTCCACATTTGGATAGATACCGAGAAAGAGAGAGTTAATGCTCTGATTCATCCTCGTCTATGAGACCACTTCTACTCCTGACTGCCAAAATCTCATACCTAAGGTTTTCTGTTGACAGAACATATCACAGAATTATCTCTAATGAAGTCGGAAATCCCCGTATTCGCTGGTAAATACTCGTCACTCAGCGGAATTTTCACATTTTGTCCAAGCCATTTTCCCGCGCGGAAGTCCGGCCGTCTTTCTATTGAAGCTTCACAGTGATATTCGTCAGATCCCGGCCGATTTTGAGCAGCACTTCGACTTTTATTCCAATGAGAGGAAAACACAAAAAAGTCGTTTCTCTGCTAAGAATGTCGGAGGACCGTACAAGTCGGAACCTCTTCAAATTTCGCAGAAGAGCCAAAAGCCATTTTTGTAGTCAAGGCATTCTCTTCGTGCATGCTCGATGTGATAACGTAGCAAGACGTTCGGAAACAAAAACAGCTTCCGTAGAGATTGAATTATGAGAAAGAAATTCATCTGTATTCCGAACTGTATGGTTTGGACAAACCCCTTCCATAAAGACTGTGTCCATTTTTTACCTGAATACATTCCGAAGTTGCATAATAACTGATAACTAAAACAAATATTTATTAATACAAACATAGACACTCAAGAAAAGACATTACAATGTGAAGGAAACAATGTTCTGGAAGCTGCTGTCATTCAAAATGAATTCTGTTTTCCAGAAACGGGTTTCGATTTTAGAAAATTGGGAAGTTTCAAAAATCTGCAACAGTAGCGCCAAATTTTGCGCACCATTTCTGGCCAACTTTGGCGCTTTCAAGAACTATTCCTTCACTGAACTTCTGAATTCACTTGCCATTTTCAAGGGTATTGTTCGGCTTCCAGTTCATGGCTGACAAGCTCAAATCTCAACAGCAGCTGGCATGCTCACATAGCCTAAGCTTGAACCATGTCAAAAAACATCGCTCGTTCATTGAACATGAATCTTTGCATATGCATCGAAAAAGGACAGACATACGTTCATCTTCGCTGCTGTCGTCCGCTTTTTACACTTTTCCTTAGATTCTAAAAGGAAATATAAAAACGAGTCTGCCGAAATTAGGGAGGAAACGGAAGTTCTTGTATACTACGAAGTTATAATCGTTAAATTCGGTAATCATGGTGTCAGATAGTGGTCACACAAGAACTGCACATGATTTCTTAACCTGCACACCACAACCGAAAGCACAGGTGAACAGCGGAAAAGGAAGCATGGCCGACCAAGATCAGCACTCAAAAAGTGGTCACCGTCTGAATGTTCCCACAGCGATGCAAAGTTGAAATCGTTGAATCCCAGAGTGCTCGAGTGAAATTCTTCTGAATCTTCTCTATGGAATACAGAAATTTACAATACAAGCAATAGTTTATCTCTAGTTTCTTCGTGCTTAGCTTCATTCACAGATTGCTCACGTCTCTCACTACTGGAATTTTCGAATAAACGACCTTCACCACAGTCGATAAGGTATTTCAGGAAGTTCTTGTTCCCAGTGAGCTTGAAGCTGTACTTCCTGCCTGGTACTAGGTGCAAGCCTGAACTTAAAGAATGGAATGCTGAATGGATTATTTTGAGTCAGCCAAAGTTGATTAAACCAAAACCTGAAAGGGTAAAACAGCAGACCAGTGAGCAGGAGATTAAAGCTGCAATAGCACCATATCCCAAGAGTGCAACTACAACACGGAAATCACGGCCAAATAAGGAATTTCAGAATCAATGCCATTGAGTATAAAAGTCAATATTTGAATAAGGGATTGAGCGTAATCATTAGAATTAAGACATTCCGAGAGAAAGGTAGATGGTAAAATACGTGGTGCAATATTTATGAAGCCCTATAGAAGGTTGCCGCTTTGCTGTCGCCTTCACACGTAGCATTCCTACTGCATTCTTTTCACTGCACGAAATATTCTCAGGATCTCATCCAAGACGCAAATGAAAAGTTGCAAATGAAAGTGCTGTACTGTGCATAGGTCAGCTAGACCAACACCAATCTAGAGACTTTGCTGAGCTTTGTACACCCCAAGTGACCTCAGCAAGGTGGAAATCACACCAGAGTGTTGATATCCAAAAGCAAAAGTCATTAATTTGCTTCCTCGATCAACGTCAACAATATAAGGTTTATCTTGTTTGATATTAGAGGATACCAAATCCGAAGAGGTCTGTAGGATGAAGTACACATTCATTCTTCACGCTTCCACGTCCAGTGCAGCTGATTCCCTCCAGTGTTTCGTTCTCGAGCTCGAATAGGGACAGGCAGTCGTTTCCAGCGCTCATTTACCTTCTGCCGAGATACTACATAATCGATTCTGCAACAGGTGACCTTTCAGACTGTAATACGGGGGGGGGCGATATAGAATAACGACGATATCAATAGAAGTTGCCAACGTATCGTACCACTCGTCACGAGTTCGGTTCCCCTTTAGAGAAAGTTATCACTTGTGAAACTTTTTTTCTTGTAGGGTATACGGTTCATCGGCAATGCGCTCGGTACGGACCGGAGTATCAGCAGTGACGTACGAGGCAAATTCAGTCATCGTTGTTGGCGGATTCAATGGAGTACGACGATTGAAGAGCACTGAATTCTACGACCAACGCGTAGGACTTTGGTATCCACTACCTGATATGGAAATTACTCGGTGAGCTAATTATTATTTTGTATAGAGCGCGCACATTTTTCGTCTTCAACTATGGAACATCGTTCAGATCCAACTTTGGAATTGAAATAATGAACGGTTGTATATACATAGCTGGTGGATTCGACGGGACTCGAACTACAAGCACTGTAGAAAGATTTGATATGAGGGCCTACAAATGGGAGGTAAGGAGATATTCAAGACTTTGAACTCAGATCCAATCACGTGAGTTTGCAGACACTGCCGTCGATGAGCATCCCAAAATCCGCACTGCGACTGATTCGCATAGCCGACCACGATGTGATAAGAAGCTTTATCAACTTCCATCAACACAAAGTCGACTTCATCTAGCCACCGCACTCAGATCCTCCTATAGACGTAGAGAATTCACCCACGACTCGATCATAGTAGAGAAATGCACATAATTATATTTTGGTAGTCTCAAGCAAACAGCATATATATGGCACTTTACAACTCACTAACTATTTATACTAACCGATTAACTAAAATATATGAACCTAACAATAAACCTTCCACCTTTGGTCTTTGCACATCACTATTCAGTGTATCAATGTATCAGTGTATGACGTAGTAGAGATCAACGACGCATTTCTCTTTTGCATCTTCAAACCTTTAGCTGCAAACCTTCAAGACCAACAGAATGAGCTCTGCACGAAAATACCTTTTGTGTGTCTAACATTCATCGGTCGTCGGAACAATGAAGCATGAGCGCTGACATCGTTTTTCTGCTTTCCGTTTAGGTTTATGGGTTCAATCTCCTCATCTGAAGGATGCGAGGCTTTACATATTCATAACGTGGGCAGTGTAAAAAAGTGCTTGAGTATGACATATTTTTCCGATGATTATAAAAAGCCGTACAACACTTTCGTTTCCAAATCCATTCCGTTCTTTGGCTCCAGTGCTCTGGACTTTCGCTTCGGACACGAGGATTGTGAACAATTTCTCACTGGAGTTCTTTCCTATTTCCTAGACTCAGTCCTTCATACCGTCCAGTAACAAATAGTGCGAAAGCTAAGAAAGTTTAAAAAATAGTGGTGTTTATGGTGTTCACCGATTCACGAAGTGTTTGAGAGTGACTGTAGGCGCCGTTTTCTAGCGTTGAATAAAAGTGTCCCACCCCATACGTTTGCCTTAGACAGACTACTAGGGCAGTTGTTCAGGTGTTTTTCAAAGTATGGCAGCTCAGTTACAGTCGATATCCGAAAGTTGGGGTAGGCGTGTCACCGGAAGTGACGTGCACTTGATAGAAGTTGCGTGGATAAGCTGTTGCCAGCATGCTTTGCTGATATCCAGCAGTCCTACTATATACAAGTACAATGTGCATGTACATGTATAATCATCATATAACACCCTGTATAAATGTAATATAATATCCTACTATATACGACACTGCCCAATCAAGTGTTGCGGTTCGCTTAGCAATTCGAGGCCTTCTGCACAAAAGCTATATTCTCTGCGGATATTTCAATGCATGCCCCGCCCACCTGACCGAGCTCCGCCCACTACCGTACCCTTTCCAACCAAGCCCTGCCTTCACCTTACACGCCCTAGGGGCAACTTCGTACCCATCCGGGACGATGCTTTAAGATGTTTATTGGGTCTACCTAGCGTGCCAAGTGGTTACAAACAGACAGACGGACAACACACCAAACTTCTGCTTTATACATAGAAGGGATATCGATCGATGGCATGTCTCGATGGAATTTGACTTTCACCACGGCCCCCAATCAACACTGTGATTCCCGACCTCATTCGAGCCCTCTGCACAAAAACCTATGTTTTCTAAGAAGGTTCCAGCGCAAACCCCGCCCACTGACCGGGCTCCGCCCACTACCATACCCTTACTAACCAAGCCCTAACCTCACCCTACGCCTAAGGGGCAGCTTCCTACCCATTCGGGACCATGCCTTAACTGTCTTTTGGGTCTACGTAGCGCGCAGTCCGTTGGTTGACACACAACGACCAAACTGCTTGCATATATCCTTCTATTTTATAAAGCGCTAACTTTGTGTGTCGGTTTGTGTATCTGTATGTGTGTGTATGTATGTATGTGTGTCCGTCCGCAAAATGAAGTGAGTGAGAAGGAAGCTCATGGGATAAACAAACCGCTAACAAATCGGGTAGCTTACAGGATTTGAGATATCAATGTTTTGTAGCAGGATAGTTGTGATAACACTCTTAGGGCTATATAAACACCTGCTTAGCACACTTCCGTTCATTCCACATGGTGCTGCAGTGGCAGCTGGAGGGCAGTGGAGAGAGGAAGGGAGGATGAGGAAGGGAAGCGAAAAATCTACCGTCATATCATGATTGTGTCCCTTCTACTGTATGAAACACCATTGTGTTGCATACGCGTCACTTCCAGGTGTTGGTGTCACAGGAGGAAGGGACCATAGCGGAGGATAGAAAGCTTGCGCAGGAAAGGAAGGTCCCGGCGGTTGACGGGGGACTAATCTGGTAGAGGATAGAGGGGATATAGAGGGCTAAGCCTTTGTGT